CGGGGGGAGGGGGTGGGGGCCGGCGGCTACAATAACAGCAAGGCCTGGAGGCGACGCTCCTGCTGGCGGGTGAGAGCGGGCTTCGGGCCGCGGGGGTTGCGTATGCCCTGGGCTTTGGGGAGGGGTGGCCCCGGGCGGGGGGCTCTGAGAAGAGCAGGGTTCGGGTGGCAGCTCCCCACCTGGTAGGGGCCTGTGGAGTGCGGGCTGGTTGAGCGGGCTCTGAGTCGCATCTGAATTTTGGTGAACGAAGCTGGGGCGGGGTGTCTGTGCGCGTTTGAGGGGACCCTGCCCGCTGGTACCGGGCACCGGGGCGGCGACGCTGCGTTCTCTGGGCGGGAGTGCAGGGGGGTGAGGTTTGGTCTTGGTGCCTTTGCCCCCTGTTTCAGGGCTGGAAGGGGGACCCCTGTCAGTGGTTCTGCTTTCTGTGGGAAGGCGGTGTGAGTGGGAGAAGAGGGGTCTCAGCAGAGCTGCGTGGGACCGACTTCGGGCGTGGGGAGCGGGCAGGCAGCCTCACCGGGGCTGGGGGCTTCGGCTGGAGAGGCAGGGCGGGAAGCGTGAGCCAAAGGGACCAGATAAGCCCTGCTGCAGGTAGGCCACCTACAGAGGCTTCACAGGTGGCCGGGCAAAGCCTATGAGGAGCTTGTTTTGGGCCACAGTATGGCAGCTTCTCTCTTACTAACAGCTAGGGAGGTGTGGGGATAGGGCACAAGATGTTTCACCCTTCCTTTTATCCTTATTCTTTGTCAGCAAAGTAAGATGGTGGTAAATGCCCTCATGTGTTTTTGTACCTCATTCCTACCCGTCCCCAGACACCACAGTCAATGCCTCTTTTCCCATCCTACCCCGAGGAAACACAGGGCTGCTGCATTTCAAGCATCCTTCTGCAATGGGGAGGCGATGGTATTGTTTGCTGTGCAGGTAGAGCCGAAGGTGAAGGAGTGGGATCAGCACCTTGTGATGTGCGTAGAGAAGGGCGTCCGGAATACTGTACTGTCAGCAGCGTGGGAGGAAAACAGGAAGCGTGTGCTGTGGGGCTTGGCAGTGTGAGCACATTGACAGTTCCTCACCGAAACATTTGCAGCCTCTGGCTGTTACCCAGAGGATGAGGGCTATGGGAAGAGCTGCGGGGTGTAGAGTGGCTGGTAGGGAACTGTGGGTTGTTCCCAAGTGTAGCATTGGCACTGAAGTGCCCTCTCTGTACACCAAAACCAGTAAGTAGAAGCAAATTGCTGCTCTGGTGAATTTTGGTAGGACTGTTAGAAAACTAACAAAATGGCAATTTAGCAGTTAATGTTTAACTCCAACTGCTCGCTCACTCGCTCTAAATGGAGGAAACCTCTCCCTCAGTCTCATGTAGCATTTGCTGTCTGACTTCTAGTGATTTTGTTGTATACACTTCAGTTTTAAAAACACATTTTTTTTGCCCAGGACTAAATTTAAAACCATTGTGGGTTTGTCTTGTTCGATGTTCTGTTGGTTTACTTCATTTTCACACTGCTGTGGGTTGGTTGGTTGTGGTGGCAGGACCTGTTCTGTGTGACAGTTCCACATGTGCTCGTCAGAGACAGGGTGCCTGGCTTTCCTGCCCAGTGACTGGTGCTTAGCTTATTTTGGGGCTTTCTTCTCTGCTGCAGCAACATTTTTAGTTTTCCTACCACTTTCTTCTGTTCCTTATTTTGCATATGTATTCTGCAGTGCCTCCCCAGTCAGAAGGGAAGAGAGAGGCTTTTCGCTTATCTCCCAGTTGATGCCTGGCCAGATGCACAGGTCAGCCAGCCAAGGTTGTGATGAAAGCCAGCGTGCTATAGGTGATGCTCTGGGAATCTCAGCACTTGGCAGCCTCTGAGGTTCTTGCAGCAAGTGGCTTTGATGTTTCTCTGAGCCTGCTGTGCCATATGCTAGCATGTTATACTTCTATTTTCTCTGTCATCGAAGAAAATAAACAATGGATGTCTGCAGTTGGAAACAGAGGGTAAAATTAAATCTGCTTGGTTTTGTGTTTCTTGCTCTGAATGAACCGATAAGAGTTTATTTTTGACTGAGTAGGCTCTTAATGTTGTGCTAAATATTCTTCCTCTTAATAATTTTCTCTCCTAAAGAAATGGAAGCAGCTGTCTCGACTACAGCGGAGCGTAATTCTCTTCCTGTTTGCCTTCTTGGCAGTCTGTGGAGTCATCTCATACACAAGCATGGGGGAACCATGGAAAAGTACGTGCTTGTATGGCTCAGAATGGCCGGAATGCAGGGTTATATTTAAGAGATTGTCGTAGTTCTTATAACTAGTTTCAATTTTTATTGACAAAGACTGGGTGTATCCATTAAAGCAGTTGTGAGATGATTTTATGTGACATGTTCCAAGGACTTGTTTCTGCTTAATCAGAAATACTTTTCGTATGCTTTCTCATTGTTTATCATTGTTTAGTCAACTAGAGCAACGTTTTATTTTAGTTGATTAAGATTTGGAGGCTGTGAGTGGTTTTTTTATTATGCTCGTACATAAATATCGGTAACCCAAACCTAAACAGCGGGATAAGATAATCCGCTCTTGGTTTTGATTTTCCATCAGATTAGAAATTCCAAGCTTTTCTACAATACAAAGGCACATTTACCTTCAATATTATCTTACCGCCTGTATTGAGAAGCTAAAATAATAGCAATTAAAAAAAAAAGCATGTGCCTTTTAGCAGCCTCCTTGTACATTAGGGAGAGTGTTAATACTAAAAGACATTTTGCATCTAACAATTAGTGCGTATTTATCAATGTTTTGTGAATGGAAACGCTTTTTGGAGATGCATCTGGTATGTGAACGCAGCAAACTGTTACAAATTTCTAGCTGGAGCCTAAACTGTTAATTCCTTGTGCTGAGCAGCTTTGTGTGTCTAGGTCTAACAAACAAATCTTTGGATGATCAGAGAGCAGAACCAGAAATTCCTGGATTAAAGCTGGCAAATCCAGCCGTTTTACCAGCACCCCAGAAAGCAGATGCCAACCTTGGAGACTACCCAGAGCTTTCACTGCAGGTACTATGAGAAGAAATGAGTTTTATAAAGCTACCGAAGAGTCTGTGAAAGCTGCAAATAGTGCTTGGTTCCAACAGTTGTTGAGGAGAAAGAAGTTATAACTTGCAATTAAAGTCTATGCTGGGTAGAACACTCTCCTCTCAGGGAGGGTTTGGTATAGCATTTCTTGGCTTTACCTTTTTTATTTAAGTGTTCCGTATACTATTTGTTAATCACTGGTATACCTAGGAGTGACAGGACTTTAGGTCACAGTGACCTCTTACTTGAGGCTTCACTTCCCTGCTGTGATTAATTGGTTTGGACCTGGAGTGCTCTGGACGTCAGTCTTGCTGTTCTGAGGAGCCCAAAAGGAGTGGTGGCTGACAAGGAGACGTAGGATGCAGTCAGTGTCACACTGAATTGGGGTGGCTTTTCTGATAGCTGGAAAACCAGCAGCAAACAGAACAGATGTGAGTAGGTTTTGAGGGGTTACATTTGTGCAGGATGCGATGGGAAAGAAACGAACTGACAGTGTGGGTCAGTGGAGGAGAGGAATGCTGGTCACTGTTGCTCTTCGTGGATTTACCTCGTGAATGTGGGGATTTCCAGTTAATGAATATGAAATTTTGTATTAAATCTTTCCCTCATCGTGCACAAATGTACATGTATTACTGTGTAGTAATTCTTGGTATTATCTAACATGGCATTGTGTAAGCTTTTTTTTTTTTTTGCATGCTTTTTGCTAATTCTAATAAAAATTTACTGTGCCTGGTAAAATGGCATCAAGTATCTTTACAATCCTTTGGCAGTGACTTGTGTTAAATTAATATCTGGTAGCAGTAGAGGTAGTTTCAAAGTAATTTATCAGTGTAAAATTAAGAACTGGATAATTTTACCAAAAGTTTAAAACAAACAAAAACCCAAGGTCTTGAGCATACCTTCTGTTTAGGGTGGAACTTGCATGCTGATACAATACCAAACTAAGATTTATATGAAGTTATGCGTAACACTGGAATGCTGTAGATTTATGGTTTGAAATTTTACCATCTCTGCAACATACCAAGCACATTTATTTTTCTTTATTTTCTCAGAAGCTGCCAAAACTGCCTCATGTTCGGCGTGGTCCTTCCAATCTTCAGATCAAGCCACCACGGAGGGATGTGAGGCTGAAGGCCCAACATGATACTGGCAGGGTTGTAGAAGAGCTGGTCCAGGCTGATAAAGAAGAGAAAACGGAGAAATCTGTTATCAGGTAGAAGTGTTGCCAGGAATTTACAGTGCTCCCCCCTTGCCCCCGCCAAGATCTATTGGATGTTGGAGTGAAAATTGTAAGGGCTTTTTGTTGTCTGTGTCTGAGGCTGATTTCTTTCCTTGCATATATTTGTTCTCGGGTCTAGCCTGAGAGCTGCTAGACTGAGTTATTTAATTCCGATGAATGTGCAGCTTTTCTGTTTTTACTGTTTACTGCAAGGCTGTCTGTATTTCTAATGCACTTAGACACTCTTTAATGCTCAGGAGAATTCTCAGTGACTGTAGGTTTCTGCTGTTTGTTTTGTAGTAAATACTAATGCACCAGTATCAATACAGTAATGTTGTCACAAGTGTCTTTGTCCTGGGCCAGACTTGGATAATTATACCAGTGTCAGTGCTGGTTAGGGGTATGATGCCTCGAAACACAGCAAGCCCAAGTGGAACTGGCAGAAGCTGTAGACGTGTGTGTAGTTCTGTGTATGTAACTGTAGAAGATCGCTAGCTCCTTCCTACAGAAGATAATCATACAGGTCAAAGACCCCTTGTGCTGATACAGTAGAATCTTTTACAGAGAGTCTGTGCTGCCATGGTTACATTTATACTAAGTTATTCCCTAAGTTAATTATTGATTGAAATATTTTGATTTGGAAATAACTGAAGGGATGTAACTTGGGAACACCAGGCTTATTTTTTTATATGTTTGTGTCTTTTTCAGCACCGGCACAGATGAGCTGGTCATAGCATCAGAACTGTGCCTGCATCAGCATTTTGACTGTTGGTACTCTCTGAAATCTTCCAGAACGACTTGGAAGTGTTTTATTCCTGTGCTTATACAGCAACTCGTGGTTAAACGGGTGCTAACAGGAGAATTTAGGAGAGCAATGACAGCATAGTGAAGACTAGTTACAACTTTAAAGAATGAAAGTAAGAATGAAATGATGGGATTTATGTGAGTCATAAATCTGTAAACAATATAAACTTCAAAGGTCCTGTAAGCCTGGTTCACTTAGGAGGTGTGTCGTGAACTCCAAGGCAACATGTCTACATATTAAACAGTACGGTCAAGATTGTTTAATCTTGATGTGAACTTGGCTTGACTCAAAGTCTGTTCTGAAAGACTTCTCCTTCAAGAGATTCTTACATAAATAGGTTTTTACAGATTTTTATTATCTGTGGTGGTGGGGAAGGCTTGTGAACCCCTTGGAGGTAAAGCAAGTACTTTTAGTGGCTTTGTGCTTATTCATGATTTTTTATGGTCATCATTTGTGCAGTACTGTTTAGTGTTAGCAGCTCCTATGATCATTTCAGAACTGGTAGATAACAAAATAGACACCGGACACTTTCAAGACTCAGCTAGACAGGGTCATCTTGTCTAGACTGGGCTCTTGCCTAGAAGGGTTGGGCCAGATGATCCTTGAGGTACCTTCCAACCTGGGATTCTAAGAAATTACTTCTAATGCAGCATTCTCAGGTGTTTTAATTCTTTTTAGAAGTTCTTTATTAAATTCCATTGCCAAGATATTTAATGAAATTCCAAGAGCCTGTAAGATACATTTCTTAATCCAATAAAATTTCTCTGGTGCAAATTACTTTCTTTGAACAGAAAAATTAACTAGTGGGCAACATAGCTATTTTGGTCCTTGATACAAAATCCAACTCCTGCTTCATCAAAGTATTGTGAGAAAACGGAAATGCGGAGAGAAGTCTCATTCATTTGCGTGACTTGCTCTGATCAAATTACAATCCCTTGTATTCGCAGCTGGAGAGGAGCAGTGATAGAACCTGACCAAAGCACTGAACCTCCATCTAGTAAAATAAAGGAACCAGAAAAACCTTCATCTGTGGAAGCTGAAGACCAGAAGGAACCAGGTAAATAGTGCAGTTAATGATACTTTTATTTCTGTTCACTTTTATAGTTGGAGTTGTGCAATTCCTCCTCACACACATCTATTTTATTTATTTATTTTAATTAAAGGAAGCAAAAAACTTGTGAAAGATTATTTACCTAGAACATCCAAGCCTTTCAGTGTCCTTATTCCACCATGACAGCCTTCACACTTACTAGCATTCAGAATTTGAGAATAAATTTTACTGACAAATCTTTGAAATACAGCCTCTGGCTGGAGGCAGACATACCCGTCCTTTCTCCAGGAGAGGATCATCGGCTAAAGAGGGAGGGCTTGAAAGGGATGGCTTTCTTTTTCAGCTGTGGTTTTTCTTTTCTGCAAATACAGGGAAAGTGACTTCCTCCCTGAATTAAACTGAACTACTTTTAAGGTTCACCAGAAAGCTGTAGAAGTTGTTTTTGCAGCTGCTGTCCTTGTGGATTAAAGAACCTGTGGTTCTGCTTTCTGGGTTCATATGAGGAAGCTCTGCTATGATAAACATGTCGTGTTACAATGTGGTGCATTTGGCTTTTGCTAGATTACTATGTATGGGGTTAGTTATGCTTCTTGCTTGGAGTGTTTCCAACTCTAGAAATCTTCGTTTATGATTTTGCAAAATTTTGGCTAATGGGCTTGAAATTGTTCATGTTGGATTTGTAACATAAGCTCAACTTTATGGCAAATTGCGAGCAAAGATTTCAGTAAACCATGGAAAAAGACATGGCTTTGCCCAAGATGGAAATTGTAAATTTTCTTCCTTTATTGTATTAAATTAAAAGTTCAAGAGAAATAATTCTGTATAACTGGTTTTAAATTTAGCAGAAAGCAATGAATAAGACAGGGAAGATGAAAAAAACCTGGTATGTGGTAAATTAGCTGAGGATTGTATTGTTAAGCATATCGTAGAATCATCAAATGCTTTGAGTCGGAAGGGACCTTTAGAGGTGACTCAGTCCAACCCCCCCTGCAGGGAGCAGGGACACCTTTAACCAGATCAGGTTGCTCAGAGCCCCGTCCAACCTGGCCTGGAAACTTTCCAGGCATGGGGCCTCCACCACAGCTCTGGGCAACCCGTGCCAGTGCCTCACCATCTTCATAGTAAAGAATTTCGTCTAAATCTCCCCTCCTTTAGTTTAAAACCATTACCCCTTGTCCTGTCACAGCTGGCCTTGCTAAAAAATTGTCCCCATCTTTCTTATAGGCTCCCTTTAAGCACTGAATGACCGCAATCAGGTCTGCCTGCAGCCTTCTCTCCTCCAGGCTGAACAACCCCAACTCTCTCAGCCTTTCTCCACAGCAGAGGGGCTCCAGCCCTTGGATCATTTTTGTGGCCTCCTCTGGCCCCACTCCAAGAGGTCCATGTCTGTCCTGTGCTGAGGGCTCCAGAGCTGGATCCAGGGCTCCAGGGGGGTCTCACCAGAGCAGAGCAGAATCCCCTCCCTCGCCCCGCTGGCCATGCTTCTTTTGATGCAGCCCAGGATAGGGTTGGCCTTCTGGGCTGCCAGCGCACATTTCTGGCTCATGGCCAGCTTTTCATCACCCAGCATCCTCAAGTCGTTCTCGGCAGGGCTGCTCTCCCTCCCTTCATCCCCCACCCTTGTTGAATA